GAGTGTTCGTCGGTGACCGGGAGTACCTTCCACGTACTAAAGCACGCAGACCGACTCCGTCCGTGAGCTGTCACTTGGCACGGGCTCTCGGCGAGGTTTCAGCCGACGCCGCTTCGACTGCCGCCGCCTCGAGTGCGAACTCGAGGATGATGAGTCGCTCTCGCTGGACGAGAGGTTACACCCCTCTAGCGGGAGCCCCTGCTCGACCGCGGTAGTGCTCAGCGGGAGCGCCAACTGCTCGACCACCGGCTCAATTGACGGGAGCCCCTGCTCGACCGCCATCTCATTCGTCTGCGGGAGCCCCTGCTCGACCGCCATCTCGTTTGTCTGCGGGAGCCCCTGCTCGACCGCCGTCGCGTACATCTGCGGGAGCCCCTGCTCGACCGCCAGTTGGTCTTCATCCCCGCGTCACCGCGGGGACTCGTCAGCTAACAGCACTGCGCAAGCCGTGCAGAGAGGGCCATCGCTCACTCTGTGCACAACGTTCGTCGTGGATGACCGGTCCACGACGGTGACATGAGGCCAATCCTTCTGGGCGACCAGGAGGTGCGTGAACACCTCGCTCACATCATAACCACTGCGACGCTTGACCGACCGGGCCAACCAGTCAATCTCTGGTTGATAGCGCGTCAGCCACGGCATACCCAGGATGCAGTCAAACGCGTAATTCATCTCAATGACGAGGAAGTCGTCGTTGCTTCGGAAACCGTCGAACGTGTACGGAAGTGCAATCTCGCGCCGCGCGACGCGGCGTGATTTTCCATCGGCTAACTTGACAGCGACATCTCCTCTACCTTTGCGGACAGTGATGTCCGACGGGAGTACCGACAAGCACGACGCGCGGAAGAAGTTGTTGGTCGCTCCTGAATCAAGGAGCGCTCGCAGTGGTCGCCGGGCACCGGCGACACGAAGACTGACAATGATCAATCTTGAATCGCTCGGCGTGGTGGTGGCATGAAAGTGTGCATGCAGCACAGGAGGGCTAGGAGGTTGGGTTGCCACCGGGGGACCCGGACCTCCATTCCAGCCAGTAGGGCGCCCCGCACCTACTGACCCCGACCGTTTTTTGACTGGTCAGAACGCACGGGCTCGGCATCGACATGCGCAAGCACTGAGCTGGCGCGCGCACTTCCGCCGCGCGATGACCGACCTTCCGACAGCGGAAGCAGGTGAGAGAACGATTGTTCCGAGCACCGCTTCGACGCACTACATGACGCTGACGATTGCTCGTCGCATCGATAGCGTCGATGTCCATGGGCTCGGGCGCAGAATCCCGAGCTGAAGCAGGTAGCGCGTAAGCGTATGACGCCGCGACCACGTAGTCCTCGCGTAGGGCGAGGGCGAATGCCTCTTCGAGCGTGGAGGGGTCCGATCTTGAAAGGCAGTAGCGCGTCATGCCTTCGCGCATACCGAACACGAATACATGAACCTGAGAGGCCATATCGATCGGCTTAGACACGATGCACGACGCGAGGCGTCGTGTCTTCTGGACGTAGTCGCGCATAGTCATCGTGCCTTGCCGAAGGGCGAAGAAGTCTGCCTGAATTCGGGATTCATCTTGCGGCGGCTCGAACGCGAGCCGAAGGTCACTCTGGAGGGTATCCAGAGTGGAAGAGACGTTGGGATCGACAACCAACTTGCCGAGAGCCCATTCCTTGGCTTTCCCAGACAACCGCGAGAGGAGGAAATGGACCTTCGCGGAAGGCGCCTCAATCAACCTCGAGGTGATGGCGATGTCGATCTCTCAAAACCAGCGATTCAGCGAAAGTCAATCTTCTCCGGCACCGGAGTAGGTGGACGTCTCTAGCTTCACGACGTCATTCGTGGAGATACGCGAGGGAGTTGATACTCGCCGATTCGCATCGGCGAGCTCGCGTTCCATGAATTCTTGTGCCGCAACGCGCTGCTCGTCGGGCGTCGCTGAGCGCAGCAGCGACGTGACGACGGCTTCTCCGGACACCGCCGCGAGGCGGTGGAGAGCTTCCCACTCGATCCGAGTGAGATGGAGAAAGGCAGCGTGGCCGAGGTCTTGGCTCATGTCGAACTTGGTCGTTGGAAGGACTACAAAGTGCTACCAGGTGTAACGGGCCAGGTATTTACTCTGTTACTCGCTTACACTATAGTGTTGAGGAAGCTCGCAATAGGACGACTGAGTCTTAGGTTTAAGGAAAAATCAACTCTGACTTTATTTTAGGACCAAGGCCACAGCCCTGGCCACTCAAATACACGTCATAGTCCAATTGGCTAATAATGGGTCTGGCTCCCCATATATCAGCCAAATGGCATGACAGCATTTCAGCACACGCTAGTCGTGTGCTGATGCACCTACTTATGTAAAGAAATCTACCTACTTATGTAATGGAGGGGCCCATTACAAAAAGCGTCAGTAGACCATCCTTGAGGATTCAAGGAAGTCATGGTTGATTGTCGAAAAACTCAGCGATGAAGTGCCGAAAAGGTAGTCGGGTACAGGTGGACGGCGACGAGGGGTGCAGGTACTGAAATGATCCGGTTCTTATAGACCAGACACTTACAGTACACACGCAATCAACGATAACGCTGATGAAGGATGCGACGTTAGGTACGGGTACTAACTTGATCCTGATCATATAGCCCAGACGCTTAGTGCAGTACACACGCAAAATTTCAACACGGCAAGCCGTATGAAATGAGGTCGCAACGAAGAAATTTGACGAATGTGAAGGCGAAGAACGACGACACACGCTCAACGAGCGGCTTTTCACGTGTCGCGTAGCGAATAGAGAATGAAGAACCCCCTCCCGGACGAAAAACAACAAGTGCTACCAGATGTGACGACTGGTGAGAGCACGGCGCAGAGGAACAGCGACGAGAAACGAGTCGCGTGGCGAGGAGCGAAGCGGAGGAGGGCGGCGAGAGTCCAGCGATGGGGACTCGAAGGTAAGGCGTAGGAGGCAGTTGATGTGCCTCGAAGAAGGTAAATTGGAAAGTCAGATTACAATGGTTAGTTGTTTGTCGGCTACGAGGAAGTGCTTGTTAGCATTCCCTTGGTATCCTATGTAAGTATATGCATTTCACTATACTAGATTCTAAGTAGTCCTTGAGTCGAATCTTGAAGTAGCGTAGCGTAGTAGTGAACCGCGGTTCATTTGAACCGGGTCAGAATCTCCATAGTGAATTCAAATGAAAGAGATGAAGAGTCTTAATTTATAAAAGAAGGAACTACGAAACCTCAGCTTTCTATCCGCGCCCTTTGCACTTAATTTAAGGCTTCTTTGGTGAAGTTATCGCCGATTATCCAAAGATAATAATTTATTTTGGATTAGCTAGCCCCATCATTTTCTGCCGCTATAATACCAACGTCATGGCCATCGCTGGCTGTGACGTTGGTGCGTCGTTACACACGCCGTATTATCAGCGATTCGAGTCACTGCCAAGTTGTACTGGGATTTGTAACTCTCACTGCTTACCTGTGCGTAGGCATCCAACACAATTGCGAGCATCAAATTCAGCAGCATGAGACTTACGACGATCATGTAACCCCGGTAGTAAAACTAACAGACAAGGGCATACAGCCCCTGATTACTATTGTAGTCGAAGTTCGCGAAGAGCATATTGATGCAAGTTTCCGTCGCAGTTTCCAAGGACGAGAACTCCTCGACTCTGTCACCGAATAGAATGGCCCCAGACACAGCAAACGTCGCGAAGATGACGACAAAAACGATGAAGAACACACCGAACTGATGCAGTGCACTGGCCACAGTTCTCGTAAGGATACTCAGCTTTTGGATGGAAGCGGAATATCTCCAATATCCGCAGCCTGAGCAGGAAAATGGCAAGCGTGATGATGAGACGCACCGCCACGGTGAGTTGAGCCACCGCTTTGAGTTTGTCAATCACAACGGACAGCTGATCTCGAGCCTCGGCATCAGATGCCCAATTCTTCCCGCTGACAACGAGAGAAGCCAAGTTGCTCCTGAAAATCCTATGAGTAGGAGGATGGAAATCCACACAAAGCAGAAGGCAACAACCGCTACTGTAGAAGAATGCTCGATAACGACCCAGACGTCACCACAGCCAAGTTTTCCAATACCTGAACGGCGATATCGATATAGTTTGCGGAGTTGTGTATCCAGTGCGAACAGGAAGAAGATCAAGACGACGATGTCCGCAGCGGTGGCGAGCGACTCACTGTAGGGATTGTAGAGAGCAGGTCGATGAACTCGTTTGTATAAAGTGAGCTGCATCTCCGTAACTGCACAACCTTGCAACTCGCCGTTGTATGCGACGATAATGATCAGCAGTTCTTCAGTAGGGAAGTCGAGCCAATCGCCTTGAACCTTGAAAGCGTTAATCTTGCCTAATGCTTCGATCGCAGGCGTGTCAAAGCTTATCAGCTTTTGCTCCGTTGTATTGTTAAACGCGTCGTAGCAGTGAGGATACAACTTCTCTAGGAATGGCTACGTAATACACGTGTGTGTCGCCTTTCGAGTCACTTGGAAGTTGACGGCACCCAGCACTTTGTTGAACGTGGCTACTCGTCCCCATAAGTCCTTTGGATAGGTCTTACCGTTGTAATCTTGCGTGATGAAAACGGAGGGCACAAACGTGTCTGTTAACCAGTCGAAGGCGTCAGAGATGTGTAGAATTTCATCGCCGAGTCCGTCGTGACCGTGTTAACCTCCTGATGTCCCTAACGTTGACGACAAAGCATAACCCTGTTCGTACATACTCGTCGCCGTGATGTGCGCAAACAGCATCGAGACAAAGGAGCAGAAGTAGAGCACGGAAATGGAAATGTGGCACACGGCTCTGATAATCTTACGATCGTGGCGAAGCGAGTCGTACGCGGTCTGTACCGAGACCTCAAGAGGAGAGGCATCACTAGTTTTTAACTTTTGGTGAACGTTGTTACTTGATACGTTAGGGTCCCTGAAACTAGAGATCGACTTCCTCATGCTCGACGATTAACATAAACCTCTACAACAGCTGAGCCAGTAGTCGTTCGGGTAAGCAAAAGACGCCCCAGGTGTCGGAGAGACAACGAGAAGAAAACCACATTGTATAACAAGCACCTGAAAACCGTTGACCTTTAGTAGTAAAATTAACATTCTCTCAAAACAAAATAAAGGTTTAAACTACATAACAGTGCGTCTCCTTCTCCCTCACTCGCCCTTGCTGCTCTTCGACGACTTGGTGTCAGCCCCTCCAACCAATAACTTCAATGCCCCAACGACTACAAATATGCTCGCCGACAGCACAGCGACCCACTTGATTCTAGTGGCAATACTCACGACGTTCTCGAGCATCTCCCACCGTTCGGGGAAGAGCCTCAGCAAGTTCAGGATGGAAACATTCTCCACCACGTCACTTGTCGCTGCCAGGACAGGCAACGTCCAGACAAGTTGGCTGTCCGGCCACAGACGACGCATAAGTCCCAATAAAGCAGTCGAGTAGATGATTGGGAAGAGAAACAGGTCGAAGATGTAAAAGTCCACATACAACGCTCTCCCCGACACGCCCAGACACTCCAAGTGCGGGAAAATGGCGCCCGGAAGCAGCCAAAAGACGCTATCCAACACACCGCTGCACTGTGGAGGGAGCTCTCGCACCCACTTCTTCTCCATCTGCAGGATCAGCAGGAACGACGGTACCAACGCGCCAAATGCCGCCGCGAATATGTGCGTCTCCCACGTCATCGCTCACTTCAACTCAGACACATAAAATTCGTCCAGACAAAAAATAGTCCATCACAAATGCTTTAGTAACCGGTACCGTCGTCCGTCGCACCACCAACCAGCCTGGCGACGTGCGTGAACCTCCTGTGCGCGGCTCTGCGGCGCTGCGTCATGACCTCCGATCACCCACCGCCCACGCGCAAGCGCAGCCATCCTTCGGACCTTCAGCAACAGCTTGAGCGTGATGAGATCATCCAGCAAAATGCTGCGCCAGTGCTCGGCGTGGCTCCCGTCAAGCGACGACGCTCGTCGGCATCCTCAGCTGAAGAACATTCGTCGTCTATAGTTGAAGAGAAAGAACAGCAATCGGCCTTTGGAGAGAAGGAGGTAAATCTGGACGGAGCTCCTGAGGGCAAACTGTTCCTTGTGACAGTCAAGACACGGAAGGAGCTGTTAGAGAGCGAGGAGGTGGCCGCTGAATCTTTGAAACTGGACCAGCTGCTGCAGCTCAAGCAGCAGAGCGCAAATACCAAAAATGCTGCTACTGATGACGATGTCGACGTGGCTTGGGGCCAGGAGTTCGAGGCGCTGGACTCGCTCCGCCGCTTCGCCAAGTATCACCAGGACGAGGCTCGACGTCAATTGTAAGTGACAAAACTGCTCTTGGCTCTGCAAAATAGGTGTTTTGATGACGCTGTAAGTGTTGATATAGAGACAATGAAGTGCTAAAGACGTTGGTACTGCCGGCGGCGTCGAGTCTGCGCTCAGCTATGGCTCGTAACGCGCTGCTGTGCGTGCAGGATCTGATCCTCGAACTCAAGGCAGAGACAGCCAACCATTTGGACATTATTGTGCCTGTGCTACTGAACCGTGCATGCTCCGAGAAGCAGTTTCTAAGAGACTTGGCCCGGGAGGTGCTGGACACGACGCTGCTAGCGGGAGCCAATGAGAAATTCTTGCTGCCACTGCTGGCCACAAGCACAACCGAGAAGAGCGCATAGATCGTCAGTGTGGTACGTCTTCGATTGCTTTAGTGGAAATCTCGTTGGGGTTCCGGCTGACGTGGTCCCTATTGTGAAAGGCTGGATTGTACGTGACCAAGTGCATCATCCGGATGGACCGCCAACGTTTACGCAAATTTCTGCTGGAGGCTCGCGGCTCGTTTTTTGACGAAATGGCAGCTTTCCTCAACTGCAAAGTTGTCGAGTGCAAGGCAGCCACACGACGGACGTGTCAACATTCGCGCCGAGTCGTTGGGGTAAGGGAGTCTAGCGACAATCCGTGCTTCTAGTTTGAGCTCAAAATAATTGTGGCTTTTGATGACAGAACGAGGAGTTTGTGGGGAGTCGCTGAGCGGCAGTGCGCAGTTAGATGTCCTGAAGGCTTCGGAGATCCGCCAGGCAGCAAAATCTGGTCACGCCAAGTCGAGCTTATGATGCAGATGAAGAAGCAGCAGCAACAACAACAGAAAAAAGTGCAGAGCGGAGGGAATGACATTTCAGTTGTTGTGGTAGCTCCTCCATCGTCTCGATCGAAAGCGTCTTCGACCCAGGCACCTTTATCGTTATGACTACAATACTGGGGTGGGCTTTTACGCAGAATCTCCCCGTTTTGCTGTAATGAGTTGGTGTGTGCTGCGTGCTGCGTGCTTCTGACGCCGAAGTGGCAGTGTGATTGATTTCAAAATGGTCATTTCGCCTTACAAATCTGCTGCGTTTTCCATGAGCTGAAATAGCAGCAGTGCTTCTGCTGAGCTAATGCAAGAAGGCTCGTTACGCCTGTACATGAAGAGTTTAATCTGTATAGCCCCTTTCAAATTCCCGGCTGGGCCTCGGTGAAATCGCGATTGTCTCGAGGCAGCGGGGCCGTATGAATGAAGTCTGATATCATTCACGAAAAGAAAGAAACACGGAAATGCTTCAGTCCGTGCGTCGACTCCGGTTGTTGTCTATGTCATGCTGTCCATGATTGTAAAATATTTTCAGTCGGTAATTTAAACAAATCCAGTCGTTGAGTGCATGTATTGTCCGACTCTCATGCGCTATCCATGTACAGTCGTGCACGCAGGGCGGACCATATCAACAGTGCCAGGGCATAAGTGCACAACGTAAAGCAAAAAAACAAACGCAAATCCAGTGCACTGATATTTTATTTGTTAATTCAGTACAAAATTTACGCCAATCTCCTGCATAATCTTGGCGTGTCATCCCTCGGCAAGGAGGGGAAAACCGTTGGGGTTAATTGCTAGAGTGGTGATGAACAAAGGTAATTGCGCATCCGATTCGCGTAATCATAAAATTTGGCAGGGTATCGACTGATACCGGTGCCGAATTGGAGGTGCACGACTGTACCCATGTAGTAATAGGTACCGGTACAAATCTTTATACCGGTTGTTTTACCAATAACACCAGCCTTTCATTTGCTTTTCAAACACAAACTCGCCCCTCTTCGAGCGTTGCCGCCACCGTCGCTTCGTTTCCAGCTAGCCGCCGTAGCCTACGTCACGAGATCAATCGTTGCTGCCTACGCCGGCCATGTCGCTGACTCTGTCCGCTTCCGCGACGCCTGAAGTGCGTTATCTTGCTGTTTGTGGTCTCTGTGAGCGTGTTTCTAAGCGTGCGTTAGCTACTTGTTTATACAGGGAGTGTGACGGGGTCACACAGCACCTTGCGCTAGAGGAAGTTAGCTTCCGAGAGTATACAAACTTTCAGTGAACGGCAGTTCACATGTCCCCTTTTATCGAAAAGGGAGCGAAGTGAGCTATTTAAGGTAGAATGTAAAACTGAGTATATTTATAGGTAGATAAAGCTTGGGTTTCATACAAACTATAATTCACCTGTAGAAAAGCAATGTCATCAGCCAATGATTGGCTTTGGACGACCTTGGTACCTTGTACCAAATATCCCGAAGTATGACGTGTCATACTTCTGAAGTGTAATGTGTCACACTTCATGTAACTAGGGGTACACTTAGGGCTACGTACCCCGTTACATCCTCCCCCACTTAGGTACGGTTTACCGACCAATCAGAATGAAGAAGTGTTCGCCACAAACTTTCATTCTCAATGTCGGAAAACATCGACTTGGCCGCCGGAGGCTCACTTCACAGTTAGGGCAGTCTGTGCGCTCTTCTTCTTGGTCTCCACTTTAACCGTTTCTCATTCCTCGTGGCACTGCGAAGAGCGGTGCGAGGACACGCTCCAAGGCTGCTGCCGGAAAGGCGCAGGCCAAGAGCACTAATGTGGTGTAGCGGGATCAGCAATATCTGCGAGATTGCTGGGTCCGACTTACCAACTGCGCCCAGACACCGACTAACGGAGGGGGTCCCCCGATGATCCGTGTTCTGCTGAACTTCCCTCACCTTGTGTACCCGTCGGTAGGGCGGGATCTTGCTCTCTCGGTAACTTCCGAAGAGGTCAAGTGGTGAAGCTTGAGTGTCTTGGCGAGACGTGGGGATAGGGTGGAGCAGCAGTGGTAATATCTTCACTCTGCGTCCGTGGTTGGTTCTGAATCCTAAGCGAATATTCGAGCTTATATAATAAGGTGAGGTGTATTGTGTCACTGCTCATCCAGAGCTGAACTCTAATCACCAATATTCGAGCTTATGGATCCAGGGCCTAGATCGTGGATCTGGCCGTAGGATTGCCTTGCGGGTGTGTTCCCTTGCCTATGCGTTTCCTTTGCGTCGTACTTGCCGCCTCCTGTGACGGGATCTTGAGAGTTGAGAGACTGGATCTTGTAACCGACCAAGTAGTAAATTCGGTTAACCTGTCGGATCTGCACGTGTATAGGAAAGCTCACTAGGTTGTAGGATCTGGCCAATATATTATTCAGTTATCACTACCAACACTAGATTCGTAATTCCCAACCTTCTCCGAGCTCGTACGGCCAATGTAGCTCCGATTCTTGAGGGCAGGAAGGCACTTGCGTGTTACTGTGCAAATTGAGGTCTCTATTGATACTTAACCCAATGCCCGCTCCACGATATTCTGTATAATACAGAGTAAATGATTATCTTTATTAAACTATAGCTGCCACTTTTGCAAACTTAATGCATTGCAAGCCGTCCGCAATGGGATGTAGCGTAAACGCTGCGACCAGGTACATATAGACTGCAATCTGTCGTAGAAAAACAACAATGTGCCCACCGGCTGGTAAAATGTCATGATTTCATTGGGCAAATGTGACGTGACTAAGGATATGCGACGAAAGTCGCATATCCTTCTACTTCGAGTATCCCGCTGAATCTGATGGGTCTGGGCAATCTGCGTTTGCGCCTAAATGACTGGCGAAGCGTGCCACTACGTCACCCGTACGCTCACCAAATTTTCGGCCAGTTCTAGACTAGCAAGAGTAGAAGAAGAACTAGACAAGAACTGGCCGAAAAATTGGTGAGTGTAATGGGCCCAACTCCAATTACATAAGTAGGTAGATATTTCTTTAGTTATTACATAAGTAGGTAAAGTAGCACACGGGTAGCGTGTGCCAAGGTGTCATCATCTGATTGGTTGATAGTGAGGAGCCAGACTCACTTATTGACCAATCAGATATAGACATGTGTTTGAGTGGTTCACACGAGGCCAGGGGTAGCCGCCCTGGTCCTAAATAAATCAGAGTTGAATTTGACACAAACCTAAGACTTGGTTTTATTATTGCGAGCTTCCTCCGCATTACAGTGTAAGCTAGTAACGGTATCTCTTACCCCGTTACACCTGGTAGCACTTCGTAGTCCTTCCAACGACAAGTCTACGATGAGCCAAGTCCAGATCTCCGGGGCGACCCTGGAGCATGCTGCATTCCCCCATCTCACTCGCGTGGAGTGGGAAGCGCTTCACCGCCTCGTGGCGGTGTCCGGAGACGCTGTCGTCGCATCGCTGCTGAGCTCAGCGACGCCCGACCAGCAACGTCTTGCAGCACAAGAGTTCATGGAACGCGAGCTCGCCGATGCGAATCGGCGGGTGTCAACTCCCTCGCGTCCATCCCAGAATGACGTCGTCAAGATGGAGACGTCTACGTATTCTGGCGCCGGTGAAAACCGGCTTCCGCTAAATCGGTGGTTCCGCGAGATCGACATCGCTATCGCCTCGCGACGCATCGAGGCGTCATCGGCCAAGATGAACTTCCTCCTCTCCCGGTTAACCGGGAAGGCCAAAGAGTGGGCCCTCGGGAAGCTGGTTGTCGACCCCGAGGCTTTCCCGACTCTGGAAACTCTCCAAAGCGACTTGCGCCTCGCGTTCGAGCCCCCGCAAGATGAGTCTCGCGTTCGCGCAGAGTTCTTCGCTCTGCGGCAAGGGCAGATGTCCATGCGTGATTACGTCCAGAAGACGCGACATCTGGCGTCATGCATCGTGACCAAGCCAATCGACATGGCCTCGCAAGTCCACGTATTTGTGTCCGGCATGCGCGAGGGTATGACCCGCTACTGCCTCACCAGAGCTGAGCCCTCCTCTCTCGAGGAGGCGTTTGCACTCGCGATTCGCGAGGATTACATGGTCGCTGCATCGTACGCCGCAGCCATACCTGCGGAAGCCCGAGAGTCTACCCCCGAGCCCATGGAGATCGACGCCATCAACGCGTCGAGCAATCGACGTCGCGGGTTCTACCGCGGCAGCGCTGGGCGAAGCAATCGCCCCCTCATATGCTTCCGCTGTGGGAAGAAGGGTCATTCGTCTCTCACGTCGACGCGGAACACTCCTCGGTCGCTCATTCAAAAAATGACCAGGACCAGTAGGTGCGGGGCGCCCTACTGACTTTAACGAAGGTCCGGGCCCTCCGGTGCAGCCCAACCTTCGAGCTCTCCCGTGCTCCAAGCACACACCAATGCCACACTACGCCGGGCGACTCGAGACTGATCATTGTCAGCCTCCACGTCACCGGTGCCCGGCGACCACTGCGCGGCGCTCCGTGGACTCAGGAGCGACCAACAACTTCTTCGCGCATCGTGTTTGTCGTACTCCTAGAACGTCCGCGTCCGGAATGGTCCGGGCGAGATCCAAGTCAAACTCGCAGATGGTAAGGCTCGCCGCGTTGCGCGGCGTGACGTGTCTTTGTCGTACACGTTCGACGGCTTCCGTAGCAAGGACGACTTCTTGGTGATCGAGATGAACTACGCGTTTGACTGCATCCTGGGCATCCCTTGGCTTGCGCGATATCAGCCAGAGATTGACTGGCTGGCCCAATCAGTCAAGCGTCGACGTGGATTCGACGTGAGCGAGGTCTTCACACACCTCTTGGTGGCGCCAAGAGACTGGCCCCACGTCACAGTCGTAGACAAAACAGCAACGACACAAGCAGTGCACAGAGCGAGCGATGGCCCTCTCTGCATGGCTTGTGCTACGTTGTTGGACGAAGAGCCCTCGCGGTTTCGCGAGGTAGATGATGAGGTGGTTGAGCAGCGGCTCCCACAGTACAAGACGGTGGTCGAGCAGGGGCTCCCACAACACGAGATGATGGTCGAGCAGGGGCTCCCACAACACGAGACAGTGGTCGAGCAGGGGCTCCCACGCAACGAGACGGCGGTAGAGCAGAGGTTCCCGCCGAACGATTCGGCGGTCGAGCACATTGGGCTCCCGTCAAACGATGCCGCGGTAGAGCAGGGGCTCCCGCGTGTTCCCGGACCGGTCGAGTACGGTCTCCCGCGCCTAGAGGAGGGTGATGCATCGTCGAGTAGCAGTGCGTCAGACTCGAGCGTAAGCTCGAGGAAGTCGAAGAAGAAGTCGAAGCGACGACGCCTTAAACCTCGTCGAGACTACACGACCAGCGATAGCCCGCCGATGGAATCGGTCAGCGC